CCTTCTTCAGAAGGTCTAGGCCCGAAACGTCAGCCTTCCTGCTCCTCTGATGCTGCTTGGCCTGCTGTGTTCATCCAGCTCTACACCTTGTTATCTCTACTATTAAAGGCAATGATGCTTTTTTTGCTGCCCTCCATCATCAAATATAGTTACTGTAGATATAGAAAGCATAGAAACAGGAGAAACAAAAGCAAGTTCAACCTCAATTTTCCTGCTCTTGGTGATCTGTAGTTAAAATTTCTGTACTGCGAATGGTAAAACTATAGCTTTTTAAGAATTGAAAAAAAAAACCTTATCCTTTTCACTTTCCTCCTAATCTCAATCTCTCTCTTGCCTCCTTCCTTTCTACTTCCAACTTTGATACTGAAGAGCTTTCAATAAATTCCACTAAATTCTATCTCTCTTACTGGAAAAAAAACTCTATTGGTGGGTGTTTCTTTTGAAGCCATGAAGCTAGCTAGCTTGCTTTGGAGTATAATATGTGCAGATCAATTGCCTTTATTTTAATCTCATTAAAGCAAAAGGACTGGGATTTAAAACAGATAAAATTGAGATACATTTACAGTGCTGTGACAGGAACTTGTAGAAGAGCTGCCTTTACTGCCTATCGAAAAAGAAAATGAAAGCATGGATAAGTTGTAACTTCCTCAATGAATCATTGGGAACCATTTTTTTCACTACTTCCCACAACTCAATTTCCTCATGACTGATTCTCCTTGGCTCCTGCCTCCAGCTAAAGTAGGCTGTTCTCAGCGCCAGCACTTCATTTGGCTTTGAAGTTGTTGGCTTCAGCCTATTTTTATTGCTCTGCAGACAGTCTCCTGTTGTCCTTCCATTGACTGGAGCTCATCCTCAAATACTGTATCCAGACCTGCATGAAGTTTGATCCAACCATCACCCTGTAAGCAACGATCTACGTTGGCTTTCCATCTGCTGACAGTTCAAATTGACAATTCTCATCTTCAAATCTCTCCAGGCATTCTCCCAATTTCTACAACCTCAGCGGGCCCAACAACTCTGCAAGGAGCTAGCTTTCCTGTAATGACTCCCCACTTCCTTCACCCACCACTGGTAGCTTTGTCCCCAGCAGTTTCAAGCCTCTGGAATTCAGTCCTCTCCGTGTCCTCTTCCTTTAAAGCAATCCTTAAAATCTGTCTAATTCACCAAACTATTTGTCATTTTTTAAAAAAATTTGTTCATGAGATGTGAGCGTTGCCAGTCAGGCCAACATTCATTGCTCATCCCTAATTGTCCAGAGGGCCTTTTTTTAAAAGTGAACCACATTAGTTTGGGTCTGGAGTCCCATGTAGGCCAGACTTCCTTCCCTACAGGATATTAGAGCAACAAGCAGGTTTTTGCAACAATCTACATTGGTTTACATGGTCATCATCTGTCATGGTGAGATTCAAATCAATATCGTCAACATTGGCCTTGGGTTCTGGAACAAAAGAGGATGGATGCTACTGCCTTCCATGTCATCCATCCTCGTTTGGTCCAGTTGCTTACTACTGGTTCTGCAAAGTGTTTTTGACATTTTCTCCATATACGCCAGTTGCTTAAAGTGTGCAGCAGGTGGTGAAGAAGGCACATAGTATGCTGGCCATCATAGCAAGAGGACTTGAGTATAGGAGCAGGAATGTAATGCTGCAATTGTACATGGCCTTGGTGAAATCGCACTTGGAATATTTTGGTTTCCTTATCTGAGGAAGGACGTTCTGGCTGTGGAATGGAGAGAATGGAATAATGTTTTACCAGATTGATTCCTGAGATGGCAGGACTGATGCATGAGGAGAGTCTGGATCAGTTAGGATTGTATTCATTGAAGTTTAGGAAAATGGGGGGGAAATCACATAGAAAACTATATAATTCTAATAGAATTCAACATGGTAAACGCATGAAGGATATTCCCAATGACCGGGAGAACTAGGGTCACGGTTGAATGATATGGAGTAGGCCATTTAGGACTGACATGAGGAGACATGTCTTCACCAGTGGTAAGCCTATGGAATCCTCTGCCACTGAAAGCAATTGAGGTCAAAATATTGAGTATTTTCAAAAAGGAAGTAGACATAGTTCTTAGCGTAACATATAAGGTGGTTAAAAAGGTATTTGTCTTCATTGCTTAGTCCTTTAAGTGTGGAGTTGGGAAGTCATGTTGAGGTTGTACAGAACATTGGTGAGATCTCTTCTGGAAGACTGCGTCCAGTTCTGGTCACCCAGTTATAGGAAGGATATTATTAATCTGGAGAGGGTCCAAAAGAGAC